GGCTGCAAGTTTTGGCCGTGCACACACAACGCTGTGACGTATTCGACGGTCAGCCGACGAATCTCTGGACGTGAACTCAATAAGTGATCGCCAACTGCTGGTATAAGCGAATCCGCACACCAGTCCAAATCGTCGACGTAGTCTGTGACCGTGTCAAGAAGAAATTTCAGACACTGGCAGTTCAGTTCCCAGCTGTCGTCCTGGAGGAGGCTTTTGAAAACCTTGAAAATCTGCGTTTTCTTCTGGAACTTTCTGAACCAGTCCCTGTCGTCCTCAGCCATCGTAAACAGACGTTTAATCGCCTTCAGGCGAGTCTCCAGTTCAATCGACTTCAGATCGTCCAGCACCGCCTGCTGCTCTGCCTGCGACAGATGACCGATGGTCGATTCCATAATGCCGGCCTCTTGGTCACTTGGCTGTGGCACTCCGCCGGTGCCCAATACCACGCCGCTCGATTCTCTGCTGACAGTGTCGCGAAACATTTTTTGTGCTTCTTTCACACAACCTACAAGTATCCAATCTCGACGCGTATGAGTTTGCCTGGCAACCGGTAAACACACCCAGCCAAAGCAACCGAATGAATGATATGAAGGTAGGAGGCTGACTTATCGATCAACCTGACTGAACTCGTTTGCTAATCAACTGCTGAGGTAGCCAGTGTTTACGCAACATTCACTGTAGCATAATTTAAACACACGAAGCTTGGCAGCTAAGGTGAACCGTAATTGTTAATCTAACGCAGGTTTTCCGCTGATCGATCGTTAATGAATTTTTGGCATGGTATTATAAATTCAGAGTCAAAGTGGAATGAACAGCTTTAACGTACTTCTGGGATGTTTAGCAAGGCATGTAGCAGGAGCAGTTCATAGTTTTTGGATTTTTCACCGCCATTAAAAGCAATGTGAGTTATTAAGCAAATAAAGCCGCATCAGGTAAACTTTTTCCCTTAGTCTCCCCATTAATTAATCTGTTTTCTTCAGTATATTTATTCATGGAAATAGGTCTGTTATTAAACTTGTTTTTGACAGGCCAGAATTTATGATGGTAACTAACTTTTCTAGATGATATTTATAGCCAACAGCG